TTGGATAGTAGGGGGAAAAAATAAAATATTTTAAAGATTGCCAACCAGGTTGAAAACGGTATTACCTTTATCTTGGCAGATATCCGTTGTTGAAAGAAAAAGTAAATCAAAGAAACGTGTACAGGGCTGTCATTTAAAATTATTTTTCAGTTACTCAAAATCAAGAGAATGAAATAAATGAAGTAATGCTAGATAACATGTTCAATAGGATGGTTCAAAAACTATCATTTTTGAAAAATATCTGCAGCTCGCACTTTTATGTGTTCTATATGATAAAATAACACTGGATTTAAAAGTTTTTAAAATAAAAGAGACTTTTAGGGGTGCCTCAAACCCGTAAACATTTAATGGGTCCCTAATATTAATTAAAAAAACTTATAAATAATCATTATTTTATAAAAAAGTTATTTTAAATTTTACTGCTTAGAAAATGATATTTTTTAACTAAAAATAAAAAATGTGTGTCTCATGACATCTACTAATACCAAAAACCAACAGATTGTTGAAAATTCATTTTGTCTCATGGGGTATAAGGAAACTCAGTTTACGGCCTAGTCAAGAAAATTGAAATAGCTGAGAAATTCTTTGGAAACATTCCAAATTGATGGTAGTGCGTATACAATAAATGATGAAATGTTGATTGCAGAGAAAGGACATTCATTTTTTTTCACATTCCATTCCAATGTCTTTAAAAATTGTTCTTTCATAACCTTAAAATTTATAAAACAAGTTTATTCAGTGATTTGCATTATTTATTGAATAACTTGTTTGTTTTTTGTCAAAATATTCTTATCAGATATATTTAAAAATTGTTTTAAAGAAATACAAAAAAAAAATTTAAACAACTTTTTAGAATGAAAAGATTAAAGTTGACATTCAGTTTATTAGTATTATAAGTTACCCTAAATGCAAGTGTAACTTTGAATTCTCATTTGAACTTTTTTTTTTTTTAAATAACTAGCAAATAAAAAAAATTGATAAAAATCTTGAAAAAAGAAAACATTAAAACACCTTTTATGCAAAAATATTTTTTATCTGGTTTATAAAAAATTATATGTAATTTGTTTAAACTAACACAAAGCATTCAAATGTTACTTGGTGTATTTACTAAAGGTTATCAGATGAACAATTGGCCATATTTTCTGAAAAATTTGTTAATGTTAAAAGGTCTTTAGGCTTTAGTTTTTTTTAAGAACATTTGTTAATAAAGAAAATACCAATATTTTAAATGCAATAAAGTATTAGTTTTGATTTCAAATAAGATGGAATTTGTTTTCTTTGTTGTTCAATGACTTGTAAAATAAACTAACTTTGCTCTTTATTTAGCGCGCACTCGCGGAAATTGAGTAAGCTTGATTTCTCTTTTGGTTCATTTCTAACTTCTAGTTTAACAAAATTTTCTGCAGTTTAATAATCTTAGAAGAATGGCTACTCTTGTGGATTTATCTAGAGCCTTTCGTGATCATTTATTAGCTCTAATAAATCAAAAATAACCCAAGACCGTGGCCCAGTTGAAAAATAAAAAAAGGTTAAAAATTTTCATCTCAAAAGTTTTAGTTTTACAATTTAAAATATTTTTGGTCTTCGGTAGAAAAAAGATTCTTGTCATAATTGTTCTGGTCATTATTGTTCTGGTCATTATTGTTCTTGTCATTATTGTTCTTGTCATTATTGTTTTTGTCATTATTGTTCTTGTCATTATTGTTCTTGTCATTATTGTTCATCAAATTTCCATATTTGCTCCAGTCATCGACTGGAGCAAATACGGAAATCCTCGGGCTGAGAAATTGCATTAAATAAACATAACCATGCAGTGGATCAAAATATGGGTATTGCCAAACATTATAAGTGATATAGCCATCACCGAATATTATAAGTGATATGGCCATCACCAAACATTATAAGTAATATGGCCATCGCCAAACATTATAAGTGATATGGCCATCACCGAACATTATAAGTTTATCAGATAAAAGTTCCATTTTTAAAAATATAAATAGATTGTACCATAAATCTTGATTTGTGAATTGTGCTTGGTTTGTAAATTTCGAATATGATATGATAGTTCAATGATAGTTTTCAATGATAGTTTTCAATGATAGTTTTTAATGATAGTTTTCCCCCATCGTAGATATAAGTAAATTCAATTTAATTTTTATTCTTATTATTATTATTTCCTTTTTACATTAGTTTGCCGTTATAAAATAATATAGTTATAAAAATTAATAGTATAATAATACTACCAACCTTCCAAAAATATACAATGATAAATAATATAAATAAAGTAAAAAACAACTAAAAGAAGATCACAAAAATCTTGTCATCAGAACCTTAACTAAGCCAATAAATTTCTTAGAAAGAAGAGAAATAAAAACAAATACACTTCTGACAATGATGAAAGAAAATCAACTTTATAAAGTATATAGGCTAATACTATAAAAAGGTAAACTGAAAATAGATAAAACAGAAATAGTTTGATAGTTGCTAACACTAGTTCTGTCACCTACTTAAAAAATCAGTGTAATTTTTGCACTTTTTTGTTCAAATTTTCAATTGATCTGGAAAAATTCCTTGGTGTATAAACGCTTTCAAAACTTAAAAGAGAATATCTTTTAATTGTTAAAAACAGTTTATAACTATTTAAACATTTATTTTATCAGTTGCTTAATTTTTTTTAAAGATTTTAAGGCTTTTTCAAACTCTTCAAAAGATAATTTAATTGAAATGAAGACATTTTACTAGAATGTATGCAATCATAATCAAACAAAAATTTTATAAAAATTGGCGAGCTATATTCTTTGGCTCATAAATACATTTGTTACCGACTTAGACAGAAAACCTACGCAAGATTTTTGTTTTCTACTTATTTTTTATTTTATTATTTTTTTTTTTTTCAGCTTGTCGTTTTACAATACAATAAACTATTCAAATTACTTTACAAATATATATATACAAATCGTGATAACAGTGTAAACTAGGTTTCCGAAAGAAGATCACTAAGATCTTATCATCGGATGCTTAAAAAACATTTATAAACAATATAATTTACGAATACCTTGTAAAGTATACGTTACAGTAAAGTAAAATATATATATAGAACTTTTACATTAGCAAATCTTTAAATATAAATAGTTGTTAACAACAAAACTTTAGGGAAAGAATAATAAAAATTTAAATAATAGATAAATTAATTAATAGTACTCTAAAATGTTATCGAGGGAAAAAATTAGATTTTTAATTTTGTTTTTAAAAAGCCAAAAAGAATTTAGTCGATCAAAATCAACATTAGGTAAAACAAGTTTATTCCATAGGTGCGGTGCACGATAGGCAAGACAAAATTGATTAAAATTTGTTTGACAAAAAGGTTCGTTAAAAAAAAAAATTCTTTTAAGAGTGTATTTGTTGCTGGGTTTTAAACTAAAAAAATCTTCAAAGACTGGGGGGGGGGGAGATAGATTGTTTTTCCACATATAAACAAAGCATAAAATTTTTAAAACGTTGAGTTCAAATACATTTAAAATTTTCATCTCAATAAAATAAGGTTTACAATGAGAAAAACGATCAGCAAAGTTAATTATCCGAATTGCTTGATTCTGACAGCGATAAAGACGAAGTAATTTACTTTTTTCAGTACTTCCCCAGGCAATATTAGCGTAGTTTATGTAGCAGTGAATAAATGAGAAATAAAGTTGCCTTAAGTGTTTCTTATTGAGATAAGTTCGAGCTTTGTACTAAACTCCAATGTTTTTAGAGACTTTAGTGCATATATAGTTAATATGTTGATTCCAATTAATGTTCTCATCGAGATAAACACCTAAAAATTTAATAACGGAGTCTCTTTTTATTTCAATTTCATCAATAAAGATTGGAGGCAAGTTTAAGGGTAAAAATTTTTTTTTCCTATTCGAATGAAAAAGAGTCCATTTAGTTTTGTCAGTATTTAAAGTTAATTTGTTGGATTTGAACCAGTGGGATAAAAGTTTAAGTTCTTTATTCACTGTGGCAAAAAGTTCGCTAATATCGCTCTTAGAGATGAATAAATTAGTATCATCAGCGAACATGATACTCATCAGATTAGTTGCTTTATTTAAATCGTTTATATAAATTCAAAAAAGGAGAGGTCCGAGGATTTAATCATTTCCAAAATGTTTTTTGATTTATGTTTATACTTACTAGCAGTAAGCAACCGTAATACGCGTTGTTAGTAAATAAAATTTAAAAAAAAAAAAAAACGCGTATAGAGAAGCCTAGAAACTACTTTAAAATAGAAAAGCCTAGAAAATGACGTAACTCGACTAATAATAATAATATTAAATTAGCGTATTCATATTATCAGATTTAGTAGTTTAAAGTAATAGCTTTTTTTTTCTAGTTTTTGCAAGTTTTTTCAACCAATATTTAAAATCTTTGTATACTTTTTCATTATCCAGCGATTTTTTTTTTAAATATGTTATATATAATTTTTGCTTAGGCTTTAATGATTGTTTAATTTATTGGTAACCAATGAGTTAATATACATTTATACAAGGCCGGCGCGATAGGGGTGTGTGTGGGGGAGGGGGGGACGGGGTATTCGGCAAAATGTAATTGCATCCCCCCCCCCACGTGACACCTACTCGCGCCGGCCCTGCATTTATATATCATTCTTAAAGATATCTGTTGTAATGATATTATCAATAAAAGAAGCTGTATTGGTTGTTACTCTTGTTGGACTATTTATTAAAGGAAACGCTCCTATTGATTTGAGTGATGAAGATTTTTTAACTTTATAATCATTATTATATGCTAAAGCATTTATGTTAAAAAGCAAAATAAATTTAGTGGAAAAACTTTAAAACAACAAACTTGCTCAAATAATATTTAGTATGCTTAGTATGATGATCTAAGCTAATAAAAAGATTAAAAAAGGATAAAAAAGACATGGAAATTTTTAATTTTTTTTTATTATTATTAACATAAATTATTACATATTGTTAGCCTTGTAGCTTATGTTTAAAATTTGTTCTTAAAACCAAATATTAAATATATACAAATATATTTACAAGAAATAAATATTCAAATAATTTACACGCATTTAAATAGTTTATGTACAAATAATTTAACATGCTAATATAAAGTATTTTTGTCTTTCCCAAAAATCTCTTTTCATTGTTTTGTACATGATTTCCAGTTGTTTCAAAGTTATAAAACTGCTTTTTGCATGGCTATATTTTGAAACTAGTTGTTGATAGCTCTGAGTATAAACCTTTGAAGATCGGTCGTCAAGAGATAAACAACCACAAGTTGACAGCTCCTAGATTTTGTTCAAAAAGTTAAATTTTTATTTTGCTTTTTAAAATTTAATTTTAAAAATATATTATTTAAACAACATACCGTCAACACGTTATTAATTTTTTGCATAAGACTTTTTAAAATCTTTTGTACAGACAATATATCGTTAAAATAATTTACTCTTGCATCTTGAGACTCATTGTTCGACATAAGAAAAAGCGATGAAAGTATTTCATTTAATATGCCAAGATGAATGTTTAATGCATCGTGAATCTGAAATATTCAAAAAATTTTAAGCAGTCATTATTTTAATCATCACTATTTTATTGGTTTTAAAACACTAAACTCTGAACATTTTGAAATCTTCTGTTGTTACAAAAATAAATAAAAAATAATCTTGTTACAAAAACATTCTTTGAAAACTATATAATTGCTTAAGAGTTACCTTTTCAACTTTTTCCAAATAAGGAGGTGATAAAAAAGATTCAGAAGATGTGTAAAAGCAATTAGATGAATTGCTAGACAAGAGTTTCTCTTCGGAAGCTGCTAAATATCCCTAAAAAACCATATTGATTTTTAATAATGAATATCATTTACATTGTACATTAGCACAGCACACAATGTAAAAATGAAATTGTAAAAAAGTATATAAAGAAAGCATTACGTACCATATTGCACTTCAGCTGTGATATAGTTGAAAGCTGTGTTTGATCTGTGATCACGTTAATAGCCATGTCATAAAACAACTTGTTAGCTGAACATTTTTTTAAGCTACACGTTTGCACATTATTAACTTTACGAAAAGTTGAAGGGGGTAAGTTAATAATAAGACTTTTATTCATGTTCGTTTTATTTGTAGACAAGTTAGATATTCCAGAGTAATTTAAAAGTAGATATTGATTATTTACATACTTATTGTTGTTATTTTTATTGATTAGATTTCCTGTTCTGTTTGTGAGATTTGTTAAAATAGTATTAGAATAAGCTACAGATATAGTTCCAGACTTGTCGTTAAAAATAGCGGCAACACTGTCAGTCGAAAAAACAGTTCTTTTTCCTTTAATTAAACTCCATATAAGTATTAAAGACACTCCAATCAGAAGCAATGTTAAGACCAAATTTTCTAAAGATAGTTATATAAAATCTGAAGGTCTATATAAAACAATAAAAACAATAATTATGATCAAAAATATTTAATTATATGCTTTGTACAAAAATGAGAATTACAGACTTTATAACATCTACAAGAATTACAGGCTTTACAGCATTTACATAGAATTACAGACTATATAACATTTTAAAAAAAAAAACAAAGAGCTTTACTATTTATAATCTTGGGTACGTTCATCTTTTATATTTGAAGTAAGTTATCTCAAGAGATGAAAAATATTTCGACTTTTTTTTCATTTTTTTCTTTATATACTATTAGTTTATAAGAAACTTAGTCAAAGCTCGTATCATTTATTTCCAAGAAATAAAGTATTTACTGAATGGAAAAATTCCCAAGTAATTTTATTTTTAAAAAAACCTGAAAAAAATATATTTTTTGTAAGTTTCGTTTCATTGTTTTCCCACGCGCGTTTTATAGTTTTCAGTCTTAAAATACGTCACCTTTTTTTTCTAAGCCTAATATTAAAGCTTTTACCCGAAAGCAGTTATTATTTATCATGAAAACGCAGCAATTTATATTTAGTTAGTTAAGAGAGCTCATCGTTTTCTAAAAAATAAGCTTTAATTAATGCAGCAATAGAAATGTATAAATCAAATATTTAAATTTTGTTTTTTAAAGAAAATTACTTTAAAAAAAATCTTAACGATGATGTTAACGTGAAAAAAATTACAGCGTCTAGACGTTGTAATTTATAATTTTAATTTACATTTTTATGCGTCTAAATGAAAATTACAACAATGAAACAACTGTTTTTTAAAACGTTAAAAAAACAACATTAAACTTTGCAAATAGTAATGTTTAATGAATACGAAAAATAAATTAAATATTTGTCATCATAAACGTTATTAAACGTTTAAATTTTAAAAATGAATTTTTTAAAATAATTTGATGTAAGAAAATAGCCTGAAAACTCGAAACGAATAGTTTGATCTACATCCAAGTTAATTTCTTTAATCTTAATATTAAATGTTAGCACCCGTTATAATATTTTATAATGTCAATCTGAAAAAAGTTAGCTAAAGTTGAATAAGTAAGCTTAAGGTGGACAACTTCTTAATAAGGAATAAACTGTTGCAGGTTTAAGTTGGGCAACCCCTAAACATGGAATCAAATGTGGCAGATGTGAACATAAATGTTGCTACATTTGGTGCGTAATAAATCGATTTTAAATAAAAATAACTGAGCTGTTGGTTTTAACCTTATCGCTTTTGACAAAAAGAGTGCTTCTGTTGAAAAAATAAAAAAAATTTTTTTTTATCAAAACAAACATTATCTAATAACTTTATTGCATAATATTGTTTAATAAGTCTGGAAATAATTATTGTGTAGTTTCTAAATTATTAGGTCGAGAATGTATATCAGCAGAGTTATATCTTTCTTAACATGAAAAGAAGAGAAAAGGTCTTTAAGTTTTTTTCGGTATTCTTTGCAGTCATATAAATTTTTTTTGTGCATGGGTGCAGTTTTGTTTATATTCGATTAGTTTATGAAATGTTGAATAAAAAGTAAAAAAATAGAAAAAATATTTTGAATTTTACTAAAAATAAGAAATTCATCGTGCAATCAATTCTAAAGTATTTAAAGAATCCTTCTATTAGAACTTCTTCTAATAGAACTTCTTCTATTAGAACTGTCCTAAAACATTTTATAGAGAACAAAACTATAAATAGAAAACTTTTTTTTTAACTTTTTTTCTTCTAACAAGGCTGCAAGCAACCACTATTAGAATCGGAAGTTACTGAAAGAGAAAAAGTAAAGTTTGTAAAGCAAGATAACAATTAGCAGACAAATTAAAAAGTTGCAAATTATATGAATCAGGAAATCATAACAAAAGGTGCGAATACCAAAGACCTGATTCCAAATACCAAATAAATACCAAATACCAAATGAATACCAAAGACCTGTTCGAAGAAAAAAAGTTGACAAAAAATAATTTTTGAAGGACTTAAGAACAATCACGGTAAAATGATGAGATTTCGTTGAATAACGAGTAATACCAGAATGAATTTTAGTAGATGACGCAAGAGATGCTCTTTAGACCAACGTCCATTACAGTATTTATTGAAAAGAAAAATAGAAGCAACATTATGACGATTTAACAATGGTTGAAAGTTGGGTGCAAGAGTCGCAACTATGCGTTTTTTACAATGCGTTTTTGTACCATATCTAATAGAGGAAGGGTACCATTCAAAGACCAGCCCCAGATATGGCAACTGTAATCCATAAAAGAACGGATTTAAGATTTAAGACAAAATAGAGAATCCGGAGTAGGAAAGTGGCGAGCGCGATAAAATAATGCAACATTAGCAGATGCTATTTTTGTTATGGTTTTGACATGTTTTCCAAAAATAGAGTACAAGAAAAATTAAATCGTAGAAGACGGGAGATGGCGTATCAAACATAAATGATTATTGATAAATATTGGAAAATTGTATCAAGACAAGAATAAATGGTACACCACCTCAGACAAAACTTCTGTAACGTTTGAGTAAATTAAAAATAATAATAAGGCTAAGAATATTATCTTAAGGAACCTCTGAAGTTACAGGAAATGGAAACTTTAATGATCTTAAAGATGTGGCCTAATATACCGTAAGAGGAAAGATTATAAAGAAGAACAGCATACCGAAATTTATTAAAGGCTTTTAAAATGTTTAGAGCGAAATCCTTAACCTTTACACATCTATGTAAAGCTAGATAAAACCTATTAGTTGTTACTGTTATCAAACCAGCAGGAGAAAGAGAAGATCAAACTCCATAGATTCTAGATGAGATATTATGTGTTTGTTAATTAAAAACTCAAACACCTTGTTTATGATAGAAAGAAGATCAATGGAATGGTAGTTAGATGAGTCTGATTGCTCTCCATATTTTTTTTGAAAATAGGGATAAGAGATGCCCCTTTCCAGGAGACTGGAAAAAAAGATTCTGATAAGCACTTGTTAAGTATTATTCAATAAGCACTTGTTAATAATAAGCACTTGTTAAATATTATTCAATTTTCTAATTTCTTGCATCAAAGCTTTATCAAAATCAACATTGAACACAAAAAAGTATTTTACATTGGTGACCTTAACATAGATAGTTTAAAATACAATGAACACCCTATTACTAAATTATTTTTTGACAACTTATTTTTATACGGTATCTACTTAATCTTCAATAAGCCAACACGTGTCACAACAATTTTCTCTACTGCTATTGATAATACTCTAGCTAACTCCGTAATAAATAATTCCTTAAAAGAAGGAATAATTAAAACTGGTATTTCGGATCATTTTTCTTTTTTTTTTCTCTTATCGAAGACTCAACCATATTTAGCAAATCTAAAACTAAAATTTGTAAACAAAAAATCTATGAACACTCTATGCTCAAATTTAAAGAATCTCTATCAACAATAAATTGGATAAATGTATACAATGAATGTAATCATGGACACACAAATTCTGCATATGACCTTTTCCTAGACATCTTCATTGAGCATTATAACAATCATTTCCCAATACATGAAATTGAAATAAAAATAAAATATCCTAAATGCCAGTGGATTACAAAAGGAGTACAAAAATCTTCATAAAAAAAACACAAAAATTGTACATTAAATATTTAAAAAATAGAAACGAAGCAAATCATTCTGTATATAAAGAGTATAAAAACCGATTTGAAAAAATAAAGAAAAAATCTTAAAAAATATATTCTTCTAAGCAATTTCAAAAAAATAATCGGAACATAAAGAAAACTTGGGAAATTATGAAAGAAGTTATTGGTAAAAATAAAATAAACTCAGACATTTTACCCTCCAGAATAACGGAAAACGAAATTGAGTATATAGATAAAAAACATACATCAGAATCATTCAACATTTTCTTTGTAAACACTGATCCAAACCTTCCGTCAAAAATACAAATCTCGGAAAAATCATTCCAAAGTTATTTTAGTGACTTTCATAGTTCATTACCTAATAGTAATCTAAAAGTAGAAGAATTAGAAATAGCAATTAAATCAATTAAAAAGAACAAGGCTTCAGGTATTGAAAACATTTTTAGTAATGCTGTATTTTACGTTTTTTCTGTAAAATAAAAAAGCCTATTTTAAATATCTTTAACTCATCAATTATAACAGGGACTGTTCCTGACAAATTGAAAAAATCAAAAATTTTACCTTTACATTAAGTTGGAAATACATCTAATTTAAGTAATTATACACCAATTTCAATTCTTCCTGTATTTTCTAAACTCCTTAAAAGAATAATTTACAACAGAGTCTATAAATATCTAACAGAATAGAAAATTTTAAGTATCAATCAATACGGCTTTCTAAAACATCATTCAACCGATCATACCATCTTAGACCTTGTTAACAACATTAACACATCTTTCGAAAGTCAGAAATTTTTATTAGGAGTCTTTATTGATCTGACAAAGGCATTCGACACAGTAGACCATACAATACTACTGAAAAAAATGGAAAAGTATGGCATTAAAAATCAAAACATAAAATGGTTCTCAAACTATCTATATAATAGACAACAATGTGTTATTATCAATGTGTTATTAATGATCACATTAACAATTCAAAACAGTTACAAATAAAATGTGGTGATTCCCTCGGGAATCTATTTTAGCTCCTCTTCTATTTCTAATCTACATTAACGACCTTCCTAAAGTCTTATCCAAATTAGATTGTATAATTTTTGCAAATGATACCAAGATGTTTTTTCTTTAAATCTATCAATGTCCTCTTTTTAAACATAAATTTAGAACTACAATAACTTATTAGCTCTGAAATCATGGTTCAGAGCATATAAGTTGCCATTAAATTCAAACAAAACCAAGTACATTTTATTTCACCCCACCTATAAAAAAAATTATTGCCATCAACCTTTCCTGTTCTCAGTATAGACAACTCAACTATTGAAATAACTCATTCATCTAAATTTCTTGGTGTACTTATCAATAAGAATTTATCTTGGAATTCTCCTATAAATGCTATTATTACAAAAATATATAAAAATATTGGTCTACCTTTTAAAGCAAGACTTTTTCTGTTTTATATATTTAATAATTTAAAATTACTTTATTTTTCATTTATACACTGCTATCTATCATACGCCAATATTGCATGGGTCAGTACCCATAAAAGTAAGCTAATTTCACTACATCGACGACATAAACTAGACTAGAGCAACTGGAAACTATATTATGCCTAAGAAAAAACGAAAATTCTCCCAATTTTCTGCAGCTTATCCATACTTATATAACAAATTAATTCCAAAAAATTTACTAGTGTTTCTTGTAGAAAATATTAATTACTTAAAAACCAAAGTAAAAAAACTCATTTTAGAAATAAATATGTACATGGAAATATTCTAATTTATTATAAATAATTAGAAAAATAATAATGTAAAAAAAAAAAAAAAAAATAGTTGGAAAAACTTTAAACTTAAAAAAAAGTAAACTTAACTTGTTAATAGTATTTGTAACAAAAATATTGTATTTCATGAAATTAATAGTAAGGGTTTTCGATGACAAGACTTACACATTTTTATGCGAGTTTCCCCCTGACTACAAATTTTAAGCTAACTTATTTTTATCCCGTTTCTTTTTCACAATACAGTTAGTATTAATACTTTAATTTTCTTACCTCAAATATATCTCAAGTATTTTGATGTCTTTAGTTGTATAAGAAGTATTTTTTTGAATGTAATATATTATATATTGTAAAAACTTGTAAATACTATGTAGTCTTAAAAATATATGAATATATATAAAAAAAAAAAAAGTTTTGAAACTATAGACGACAGCTCCGGAGAACTGTTCCGCAAGATTATAACTGGTATGTTTTCCAGTCGCTAAGCTATAGAAGAGCCCAAGAAGGAAATAACCTTAGATACAGAAGCTGGAGTGATACGAATTTCAAGCAATGGGTTATCCTAATTGTTGGCTATATCAGGTTGGATGTGTTAGAGAAACCAAGAGTTTAAATTGATGAAAATTTCTGAGCAAACAATTCAGTTTTGTCTTTAGGTGAGGTAACAAAATTAAAACCATGCAAGAGTAGCGGATTGAAAAAGTTGCTTTTATTATAGACAACGTTTAAGATTCTCCAAAAGTCTCAGGAGCCTATTTTTTGAAATGAACTTCATAGGTTTTTGGCCTGAGAATAGCGGGCTTTGGAAAGTTGACTTTCCATTGAGATTAAGAAAGAAATTTTTTTTGGCTCTTACCACCTGCAGAGTTGCTGACATTAGAATCAAGCCATTCAGTATGTCAGTATGATGAACATTTAAGTCACTTACAACAAAGATATTGGCGGAAGGATAAAGAGAAAGAGTTTGATCAATTTGATCAGAAATAACATCAACATCAGCAGTCTTGAGATAAAGCAGAGAAATATAGAACAAAGAGAACAGTGATAGAGTGAAGTAGTGCTAAAACATCACATTAAATAATACTCTGTAAATTCAAACCTTGTTTCCCGAAAACTGTTTTAATTCTTAAGAGTTTAAATGCCCAGGCCACAAATGGCTATTGAAGCCTTTACCAATTAAAGGAAGATAACCATAAATACTACGATCACAAGATGAGACAGCTAAATTTAAACTAGTCTTATAAAGAACAATAAAATTATATCATTAAAAAAAAAAAATTAAAATAAATTTTAACTTGAGCCTCATTTTGCGAGAAAAACCTTTGGGGGTATGTTAGTAAAAGTATGTAACAGTACATCAAAGTTGGTTTTGAAATCTTTCATCATGTTTAAGGTCTCAACAATCCACACAAAAAGTAAGATCAGGGACACTATCCATGCGCAATATGGGTTTGTTAGTACTCTGATACTTTACAGTTGTTGATAGAATCAGCCTCTCAAGAGCTACCACAGAGTTAAAGAAATCTGACTACCAGTCAACCTCAACACATAAAACTGAGTTTTGGAGCTGTACTCTCATAAGGAGATAATGAAATGGGTTGCCTAGTCATTAAAAATGAGACATATGCAGAATCTATGCATTGAGTCAGTAAGATCCAGCATCCAACATCCTAAACTGGAAATAATGTATTATAGGTATATTTATGACACGCTAATAGGTGAAAAAAAAGTGCAAAACTTGTCTACAGATAGAATCTGTTTAACCGTTAAGATTTCAAATTGTTGGAAAATCAAGATCTAATGACAATGAGAAGGTTAAATCATTAGTTAACTCAATTAATCAAAATCCAATTTATTCACAACAAGATTTTTCTACAAAGTTTAAATGCAGTAATATCTTTTATTTATCGAGTATTGAAAAAAAAAAGTCTGAAAACTTTTGATAAGATATAAATAACCTAAAGCTTAATTGATGGAAAAATGAAGGAAACTGAACGTGCTTAACATTTGCTTAAATAAGTAAAGAGACTAATTTTTTACTTAGTAGAAGACAAGAAAACTTACTGTAAAAGAGATCACTTGATGCTTCCATGTCATTAATAGGATAAATAAAAACTTTATTAAAAATGTTTTGCCGCAAACGCACGTGGTCTTCAAGAATATTAATTTATTTTAAAAAGGGAAATAATGATCAAAAATGTCGAAAAAATTATTACAAATAAGTTTGAAGAACAAAAAAGAAGTTTACTCAAAGAAACAGAAAGGTTTTTCAAAGACCAAGAAAAGACCTTGTCATATATAGTGACTAGAAATATAAATATAATTGCTATGGCCTACTCAAGTTGTTTAAGGCCAGTCCAAATTTTTAAGGCAGTACGACTTACCTTCTATACATTTCTTTTATATAAAACTTTTTTTGAAAAGTTGTTGTCTTAACTGAATAATACTTAGCAAAAGTTGTGCAAAGTTAAAAAATTTATTATAGACGACAATATGGAGATTGACTGAAATTGTCCTTCAACTAAAAGATGAATATAAGATAAAATAAGGAATTAAATTGTTAGTAACAACTTTCCTAGTTATATGCAACCTAAACGACATTGATATTGTTTTCTACCATTAATCAATTTTATCTAAAAGGTCAGGCAGAAAATCCGACGTTTTGTCATTTCTTACAACGAAAAACTTTTAAATATCGGGAATTCGGTAATACTAAACGGTTTGTATTTAATCATAGTCATAAGAATAAATGACTTTTTTTGACTATGACATAATGGCTTTTTGATGGGTTGTAACAACAGAATAAATTTGTCGGGTAGATTAATAACTCGTAATATTTAAGATTTGAACAATAAATAATATGGTTTGTTATGAATTCATTGTATTATATGATAATTCATAGCATGTTATGAACTCGTAATAGATATTTGAAAAATTAATAATTGCTGAAAAAACTTTCTTGTCGGGCTTTTTAAGTCTAGAAGTCACGGCTATATTGTAAAACAACGTTTTAAAATTATCCCGCGAGAACTGAACGACAAATTATTACGTCACCCGCAGATAATCGAAGTAAACCCGAGACTGGCCTTAAACAACCTGAGTACTATAATTACACGGCCTGATTTGTTGCATTTTCCGTGAAAAATTAGGAGGCCAGTTTTTTTACGGCTGACGTTTGAAAGCTTGAGTTCCTGTGTTTGCATTGTGAATGCTTTATTCATATTTTATTAAAATTGGAACAAATGACTCGGATTTTTTTGTGTAGTTATACTGGTCTGTACATTATGTTATACTGGATTTTTCGCTAACTGATTGCCTGCTTTAGTTTATTCCAGTCAAACAGAATACTGAAATAGGCTTTCAGATAGCTATATATAAACATGGTACTTAAAATAACATTGCATGTTGCAAAGACCATCTTCAAATCTTTAGTGGAAATAAAATCATAGATTTTTTTTCGTATCTTTTTTATTACAATTAAAACAAACAGTAATAACAGAAATAGCCTTTTATTAGGAGTTATTTTTGGTTTTCTGTCTTTTTTTAAATTATTTCACCTGATCTTTTCTTACTGAATCAGTTGCTTCTTTTTGCAAATTATTATAAAAGATATTTATAACGATACGAGATCCATATTTTATTACCAACTCTTAGTTGTAATAATTTTCGAAAACTTGTTCTGCAAAACTTTCAGTTGAAAAGGAATAACTGCAATGTTTGGTTAAAATAGGAGATATGACATCTAGAATACTAAAAAGATGACAAATAAAATCAGACACAGATTGACTTGGACATATAGGTCCACCTCTGGATAATATTTTCAGGTATTCATTATTAAGATATCTTGGTCTGTAGAAACTATTTTTTGATTACAAGTATGACATCCAAATCTTCTTTTCAACTTTTTGCGACATACTCTGCTATTGTAACAGCAACTTCCATGTTATCTTCAGAAAGCTGACACTCTAAAATCTCCGTAAACAACAAAGGAATTTCTTGATATTTTGCTATAAATATTTTCTTGCTATTTTGCTATAAATGTTTTCTAAACTAGAATTATCAAAAGTGTGATAAATATTTTCTTTCCAGAAATTAATATATTCCTTTAGAAGACTTCTTACTACCAAGATTTTTTCATTATCTTCTAAAAGATTCACTAGAAATCTGCCACTAATCATTTATCTATATTTACTAAAACGTAGCTTCAAAAGATCACTTTGTAACCTGGAAGTAAGAACTTTGTAACCTGGAAGTAAGAACATTTCATGATGCATCTTTTCCCATATTTGATAAATTTATCCTCGAAATGATCAATACAAATTGCAGAATATTTAGATGGAAACCAATCTTTTCTATTTACAAAGTATATACATCGTTCTCGCAAATTGCTTTCTTCAGGAAAATGAAATGTAGACTTTTTTGGACCAGTAGAGTAACCAGTTTTACAGTTTGTGACAACACATTTATTAACCATTTTTATACCTAAAAAAAAATTTCAAAGCTACAATAATATTGAGATTTCTTACATTTATTATTGAATTTATCTTGAATAAAATTGCATAAAAAAGCAGTTTGTCTGTATACAATATACCAAGTAGATTGTCTGTGTGTCTATTTTATTATTCCACTCTCTAATTGATTATAATGAAGCAGACAATCAGTCAGAATATAATCAGAAATTATAACATAAATATGAAAGAAATTATTACACGAATATGAAAGCATATACCAAACTTTGATATAATAATTGTAATAATCACATTATTTTAATTATTAAATTATTATATAATTATTAAGCGATCGAAGCTTTGTTAATCTGATAATATGAATACGGTAATTTAATATTAGTCGAGTTATGTCATTTTCTAGGCTTTTCTATTTTAAAGTAGTTTCTAGGCTTTTCTATACGCGGTTTTTTTTTTAATTTTATTTACTAACAACGCGTATTACGGGTTGCTTACTGCTAGTTTATTATTAAAGGCTAAACAAACAAATAGAATTCCAAACGCAACACTTTAATGTTTTCAAATCAGCAAATAACGAATACTTGATAGCTTTTACCCAAAATTGCATTTTTTTAATGGAAATAATTTTAACTCGCGGTTTTTTGATATAAAAACTTTTAAAAATGAATAAAAATTGTTAAATAACAATTTTACGGTGATATACATAAATATAAGAAGTATAATTAACAATATTGACTAACTAAAACATTTTCTTGCAGAATGTTATTTTTTGTTCAGTGTGAGATGCTTAACAGAAACTTGGTGTTCTGAGGAATCATCGAGAACAAATTCAAACTTATTAATTCCGAATTACAAACTAACATATTATGAGCAAAAGGTTTAAAAAAGAGAAGGTGACATATATTTATAAATATGACATATATTCTTAATGATCTGACAACAAAAGGTTAGAGACAATCTTTCGGTTTCTGATACCGATGGTGAGGTTTTCACAGTTGAAATAATAAAACAAAAAGTTAAAAAATATACTGGTGCCCATCTGTTACAGGTTACCACCTGAAGGTGGTATAAAAAAAGTTTCAAACCATCGAAAACAAATATTTCTAAAAAACAACAAAGAGCATAAAATACTATTTTGTATTAGAGACATTAACATAATCTGTCTAATGTCTACAATAAAGAGGCAGATACCCAAACCTTTTTTGGATATATTTTTTAACACTACATCTCCTTATAATAAACAAACCCACCCAATAGACAACATATTGACTAATTCATTTTACGATTTATCATTAAAAGCAGGGTGATCAAAACGGATATATCCGATCACTTTCCGATATACTTTTCTTTGTTTCAAGATATTAAAAACAAATAACTTTAAAATCAAAGTCTATAAACAAAAAATTAAAAAATTTACTTTTTGACAGTTTAAAGACACACTATCGGCAGTGAGTTGGGATAAGATTTTAACAAATGAACTTTTAACAAATTGCAATAAAAAAATACTTTTAAGCTGCTGCTGCTATCGGCCACCATCTAGCCATATTAAAAGCTTTAAGGCATAATTGCAAAATGATATTTTAAAAATAAGTTTATAGAAAAAAGAACAAATTATTTAATTGGTGACGTTAATTTAAATTGTTTTAAACACCACATTCACAACATAAGCAACATTAAAATGTTTTACGACCACATAAAACAACATTAAAAAGATTTACGACGATTTATTCCTAAGTGAAGCGACACCGCTTATTAACAAACCTACTAGAGTAACCTCGACGTCAGCTACCTTAATTGACAATATAATAACAACCGATATTTTTAATGAATCTCTTAAAATAGGTTTAATTAAAAATGACTTTTTTCTCCATTAACATTAAAAAATATACAAATAAAAAAATAACAAAAATTTGGTTAGAGCGTCAAAGGAAAAGTTGAAATTCGGACTGTTGAACAATACGAGTTCAAATCCCACTACCGCCAACTCAGCGTTTGAGTAGTACTTCGGTACGCAAAAATGTTAGTTAATAACGGACGCTACTTTGAATTAGTCTTAATGACTATTTGTGGCTGCTAAGCCAGCAATATCATCGGATATAAAAATATTGGATAGAAAAATATAGCATGAAAATTCAAAAATAAAAAAATAGAAAAATAAAAACTCAAGTTACTGGTAAAAACAAATTAAAAACGTGCTCTATGCCTAACAATATAAAAAAGATGACGTATTCTTACATGAACCTAAACAAATAGCAAGCGAGCTCAATAAAATCTTTGTATCTGTTGGACCAAATTTAGCTAAAAATATTCATAATATGATTAATCCAATAAATGATTACGCTTTTCCTTTAATTTCTAAATTAGATAAAATTGAAGTAACTTTTTCAGAATTCGAAAATGCATTTAAAATGCTGAAAACTAACAAAGCAGTTGGTCCTGATGATATAAATTGTAACATAGTTATAGATTCATACGACGATATAAAGTATATTTCTTTTAAAGTTTTTAAAGGTTCAATTAATCAAAGAATGTTTCCTGACCAATAAAAAATTGGCAAGATTACACCAGTATTTAAAAGTGATTACACCAGTATTTAATTATCGTCTAATATCTGTCCTCTTTGTTTTCCAAATATTTTAGAGCAAATTTTGTTTAACAAAGTATACAATCATCGGCTTCAAGAGAAACAACTCTACGGAACATACAATAATTCATTTCACTTTAAGCATAAATGAATCATTTGAAAAACAAGAATTTACTTTAGGTGTTTTTGTAGACTTATTTAAGGCGTTGGACACAACTGACCATAAAAAACGTTTTACAAAACTTGAATAGTATTGTAAAACGTTTATAGAATACTAGAAAAACTTTAATGTTACTCAAAAATTACCTAAAAAGTTGCATACAATATGTCCACGTCGAAGAATCTTTTTTACCTTACTTTCTAAATTTAATCTGTGGAGTTTCACAAGGATCTATACTAGGACCCCTATTATTTCTAATTTATGTAATGATCTCTATTAAGCCTCAAAATTAAAAACAATCATGTTCGCTGATAATACTAACCTCTTCTAATAATGATATGAATATTGAGCTAACAAAGATCTCTAAATGGTTCAAATCAAACAAACTATCGCTCAATATTGAAAAGACTAAATGGATTCTCTTTTGTCAAGCATTTAAAAAAGGTTTACTCCCAAGTGATATGCATCTACTTTATATTGATAATTTAAAATAAAAAGAGAAAATTATCAATATCATGTAAAAATTACAAATTTTTTATATGATATTGACAAGTTTCAGTTTTAAACTTTTATAAAAAAAATCAAGACTTTCATAAAATATGAAAGTCTTGATTTTTATTTATTATATGATATTGGCAAGTTTCAGTGTTAAACTTTTATAAAAAAAATCAAGACTTTCATAAAATATACTTTTTAGAATGTCATTTAATGGATAAGAATTAAATAATAAAGATAACTTGAACAATGTTAACATACGAATGCAATTGCGTAATCGGGAAACAACGCCTTTGTTAAAATCAAAAAAAGAACTCATTTGAGTGAATGCTAAAACTTAATTATATAATAAAATGCCTTAAAAAAGCTCAAAATAGAATTGTTTTATATTTAGCGATTTTCAATTTATTTATTTTTGAGGTTGTTGCGCTTTTGCTTTTATTACCTCAGTAACAACAAATAAATTTGAAAAATTTTAAAGACATCCTTTTTATTTATTTTTTCTAAAATGTTTTCTTTTATTTAAAATAAAAAGAAAGGCAGGGTGGGAAGGGCATTTGTCGCCCTTTGTATCGTTGGCCCTGGAAAATAGTTTAACTTTCAACATCCCAACGTTATTGGGGCAATACAACTGCTGAAAGTTTTAAAACTCTAGCTATTTTGGAGAGCAGTAAAAATTTAGTTACTAAATTTCGTAGCTAAAAAGCGGGCATGTACAATACAAACCTTCCCCGTGTCTTTGCCCCTGAAAACAACTTTTACATAGAAGCTCACCAGGACTATAAAAACGCTGAGAGTTTTCGAGCTGTAGCAATTCTGAAAGGTAGCGATAAATTAATTGAAAGATTTAAATAAAACCAAATGTAATGGAATTTTGATGGAACCAAATATAAATAGTAAATCTCCATTTCTGCTGAGCCAAAAGCAATAAACAACAGAATGTCAGAAATAAACCAAAGTCGGTACTTGATAAAAAATATATATATATATAAACACTGGCACAGAGACATGTTGCAGATGAAGCCTTACCCTCTCCCTCAAAACTAACTCAAAGTATCAGTTTTTCTATTTAAATTTTAGCTGCGTTAGGCCCCCTTAATTTCCGTTTCATCTCTCTCCCCCCCCCCCCCCCCCCCACTTTACTACTATTTTATACAATGTCATATTAATTATGCTAATATTACGTTGGGAAGCGCTTACAAAAAAAATTTAAAACCAACTTTATTGCCAAAAGAAGCACATTGCGCAACTTTATTAAAAATGAATTTCAAAGATCGTCTTACTCACTTAAAGCCTCTCTTAATTAATATGCATATTCTTAATATATATATAAATAAATGTTAGTGTTCTTTGTTTTATGTTCAAGTGTAAAAGCCAACTCTTCTCCAACCTCCTTTCTTGATATATATTCTTAAAAGAAAAAAAGAAAATTCTTTAAAAAATTGTAATCATATCAAATCATATTATAATATAATAAGGAACTTATAGCAATAATCATTCGAGCGTGTTTGACACGATATTCTTGGCAGCCATTGCAACCGAGGTAATAGCGAACTTTTTTAAAACATTAAGAGGGTTTAAAAAGTATCTTTTTATAAAGAACATATTTAAAAATCTTGAATCTCAAAGTTGAATATCAAATTTATATTTTTTCAAAATAATAAAAAGCCAAAAGTATTGAGGTAATAGAGAAATGTAAACTTTTACAGCTATTTTGAGACGCCCCCGTTAAACATTCTAAAGCGAGTGCGTAATAAAGACTATAATTA